TTTCTTCCTCCTAAAAAGTCACACAGAAACATGTACAGTATATGCATTATGTCCTGGTCCCAGTGATTACTAATATGCATTTATTACACATCTACGGATGTAGTTAATCTAAAAAGCTCTAAATCATATCCAATATTATATCATCCCCAACCTCCTTACCTTTTTCTTAAGCTGCTCTTGTTCTTTTTTCGTCCGTGTTTTGATTGGAGTAACAGGTTTTCCCTTTCTATCTGCCATGCTCAAACTGAAAACAAATAAATAACATACTAAATAATAATGAATAAAATATTAACTCTATTAAATTAATTTATAAATCAACCATATAAGATTACAAAAAAGAATGACTGTGGCCCCTCTGTTCAATCCCCTTCCTTTTATTATTTTTAACTCAGCCTTTCTATTGATTAGTTACAAGTTAGCATATTAACAGTTTCACCCATATGGTGTTCAGATTATTGTAATCCAGTTAAATAGTCTCAACAAACTCTGACATCCTTTAAGATGTGTGTTAAATTTCAGAGTCTTGCGAGAACAATAATTAGAAAGACACCTCCCTGGTCCTGTGGGGGACAGGGCAGGGCCCACATTGCAGACGTGCACTGAAGGGCAAACACAGCATTTTAAATCTGTGATGTCTGTTGAGTCACTTGATTTGACCCTTTTTTGGTCAGGTAATAGACACAGGCAGTGTGTGAGGAAAACAAACAAAAGGAGCAAAGCAAGATCGAGTGCTAAAACATATGGTGAGAGTGGATGGGGAATTGGGATACTATTCATAACAAGTTAGCTACAGCCAAGCAGACAAACTATTACATACTGTAGCGGTTTCAATTTAATAACACCATTCAATAAATATCCTGGCTTTCCTCTGCTGCACATGTAACGCGCAGGTTGTTTTAGTCCGTTTGTAGCACAAGCGGTGTTTAAAAGGCCTGGACTAACTATAAGCTATCACTGCACTTTGCTATCGTTAGCTAACATTAATTTTTAGCTTAGCTAGGACTCGAGTGGGATGGCTAGCTAACCCCTTTTGGATGAGCAAAGCTGAACACACTATTATCCAGTTAATCCCACAACCCGTAAAGATGCAAACCCCCTGTCTAATCGCTAACATCTGCTGACTCTGGATGCCACACCGAGAAAACAATCGTGTTAGCTAGCTAACGTCAACATTATAGTCCAATATGTTTTCTACTGAAACGTTAACGCCACAAACCACCGACTGACTATTAAACCACACTGCATGCATATAGCTCCATACCTTAGCTAACACTGCAACTTACAGTGTGTGTTATGTTATTGCTTCATCATTTTGCTTGCGACGGCAATTGATTTCTATCACAACATGCTATCAAGAGGCGAGATATCCGACTGGAGCTCCGGAGCGAGGACGCCTGCTTGGTGCGCTCGGTCCGCACGAGTCTGTCTCTGTCACAGTGTCTGCTGCGCGTACATTTTCACGAAGGAGACTCATTCTCATGGACATTTGGCTCTCTTAGGTAAAGACCTTGTGTGCATATTGCTACAGTTTATAGACTGTCCCCTTCCTTATATTCCCATGTGGTTGTGGCCATGTATGCCAGGAGGGTTGTCCTGTAATAACCAGCATTTGACCTAAGTTTGAGGTTTAAACGGGTTTTGTTGTTGAGAGGAGACCTGAATGGGTCTTACCATTGGTAACATGAGGTGCATGGTGGAATAAAGTGATTTGTTACCAATGTTTCTTAAATTACCTTCATTATAAATTATTTAACTGATGACAGAATTAATCAATTAGGGGGGAAATACCCTCAATACATAAGAGCATAGAATACAGTATATCAGCCAGAACAATTCTGATTAAATCATTTGTTTGCATGAATATAATCAGAATCAGAAATATCCCTGAGGGGAAATTCTTGATACATGTCTCATTATATACTAGACCAAAAAGTTAATAAAATGCATTGTTGCCATTCACTAAAATTATGCATGAAATATCTTTCATGCATTTTTCATTATGTTTTTTTCCCAACATTTTCCCATTTCCCAACAAGCTTGCGAAGATATAATCAGAAATAGACTTTAGAAAAAGTATGAAAAAATGTACACTGCGGGCTATACTCGCTCTACTGTTCTGTCAAAAACAAAAATTAGTGCACCAACTGTTTGGGTCAATCTCTGTTTTTTTGCTTGCAGAGACAACAATAAAATATAATAAATATTGTTTGTTGCAGCAGTGCTTTGCTGCAAATGTCATCACAAGTGTTAAATGCTCAAGGATAAGGTATTGCCGTATTTGATATGCTCTTTTAATTAGGCTACCATAGGGCTGACCAGAGAGGCACTTCCCATAAAACTTTAATTAAGGGCAAACTCTCACTAGGCGATCTGTACCATGCCCGAGCACCTTTAACCCCCAACGGCCTGTTCATTTGACCAGTTTGATTGCTCTGTACCATGCCCAGGTATGCGGTTTGGTTGGACTCCGGCACGGCACACAAGTATTGTGATCTTGGGGGTGGTGATGATGCAGATGATAAGACTGCCTTTGGTGTGAGAGATGCAGGTTTGAATCCACTGTGAGACACCAATGTGTCCCTGAGCAAGACACTCAACTCCTAGTTGCTCCAGAGGCGTGCGACCTCTGACATATAGCAACTGTTAAGTTACTTTGGATAAAAGCTGAGCATGGAACTTGGACATGAACTCATCATGCTTGGGCATGGTACAAGGCAACTGGTCCCAGTGTGGGTATGCCCTTGAAGCCTTGTCCCACAGCCATGGCCACAAAGCCACCTTAAAAGCAGTTGGTACGTTCAGCCAGGTGGCTGAAGGCTGGAAACAGAGGTTTGGACCATACACAGAACAGGTAAAGCCACACAAAAAACACTGAAAATACTACAACACTGGAAACTATCAAAATCCACACAAGTAAATCCACAATGAACTGGCAACAACTGAAAGACAGACAACCACTTAAATACACATGTGAGGGAGAAACTAATGACACACAGGGGACACTACTCAGACAATCAGAAACAAGCACAGGAAGTAAAACATGACAAGAGACAGTAGGGCAGACAAACTAAAACAGGAAGTAAAGCTAACTGAAACACACACGAGGAACATCACAAAATGAAACATAACACAGACAACATAAATGACATGATGACAAAAAATCAAAAGCAAAAAATACAGAGACCGTAAAATAAGAATAGAGACACTAATGAACTCATAACAAGGAAACCTGATGAATAAACAAATGACCAAAATAACACATACACTACAGAGAAGAGAAAACAAAGGCAGGGAATGAACACAGAAAACAAATACAAAAAAACACCCCACAAACCCAAACCAGTTACAGTGGTAACCTCATGCACTGACACTTCCTTAGTTCATGTCGTTATTTTTCCTTAGGTTGGGTTTATATACTTTTTCAGACACGTTATACATTTGTTGCAAACATTTAATTAGAATCCATGCAGTCTGCTGGTTTAAAGGGGTGGTGCCTGGAGCAGGAGCAGCTTTATAGAGGAGGTGGCCCAACTGGACACTATCACTGCTTGTTATGTCCGGGGGGTAGCTTCATTCTCATTGAGTTTTGATTTATATTATATTAAGTTTTTTTGCTTGGTTAAGTAAGATTACATTTCTTTTGGATTAAGTGTTTAGTTGGTTTTGCTGTTATTTGTAGTTTATGTAGTAGTATTATTGTTAGTCTCCCCTTGTGCGTCAAAACTGGTCTGATCAGCCAGTTTAAGTCCCCTTTGTTTCTTTTGTACTAGGTCAGTTGTATTTTTGAGTTTGTTATCTTCAGAACTTCAGTTATGGTCTGTTTATTTGACCTGTTTTACGGGCCCAAACTTTATCTTTATTTGTTGTAATGATTTTTTTAGGAAAATAAAAACCCCATCTTTTGAAGTTTTCTTGTGACTCCTCTTGCCTAACTGCTTGGTCCCTCACAACGCATACACATTTTGACAAGTAAAAGCAGCGCTCAATAGATGCCTGGTCTGGTCCACTGATCAAAAGAATCAAAACGTTTTTTTCATAAAAATGTATCCAAGTTGAGATAACTACAGAAACGTTCATTTTTTATCATTTCTGTGGTTCTCTCTCTCTCTCTCTCTCTCTCTGTCGCTCAGAGCTAGATCAAATTAATGATTCATTGTTCGTGTGTTATCCGATCATTTTTAAGATATATCAAGTAATATTCGTACTAGTTTAAATAAACAATTTGATTGTAGCCTATTTCCCATCTTTGCTGAGCAAGGGTTTTGTGGGAAAGGAATTAAAGGTCTGTCTCATATAGATGCCTGTCCCAAATACAGGGTTCAGTGATTGAAGCATATAAAATACCCGGGCTATTAATTGAAGTTTTATGGTACTGGACATTTGCGCTGGCTATAAACAGACTAGGTATTTGGATCAACCAGAAGGGCATTTGTGCTACTTTAGTGCTCCTCTGGTGTTACATTAGGGGGTTGGCCTAAAAGAAATCCCACATAGGACCCAGGCATACCCTGCTTTAACAAAGCTGCTGTACAGTGATGGTCTACGTATGGATAACTAATTTTGCTCATAGCTTCCACTCTTCAGTCTGCAAGTAACAGGAAGCAGCAGGTGATAAACCATTTTCATACCCAGTGAACAATAGTAGATCAGTAATGCCTTATGGGTGCTGTACTTCTCCCATATAGTTGTGTAGTATTAGTATTGTTTTTATGGTAGTGATTACTCATTGTTTGGCTGTAACCACCCACCCACAGCATCCAGGCATTGGGATCCAAATAAAAGGACATCTGAATGATTGCATGAAGGGCCCCTGCCTCCTGTGTGCTTGCACTGGGGCCCCTGCTGGGAGTTTGGTAGCAGGTGGAGGAAGGGTAAAAGCCTAAAATGGCCACCATACCCTGCTCACCATCATTATCACCAGCAGCAGCACCGCCACCTCAGAAGCCCATCCCCTAGCGTTCGTCCCGGGTATGTACCCTGTATGCGCAGGGGCGGAGAAACTGCCGCTGTGCGCTCTTATTATTGTAAGAGTAATTTCTTTTTTACGAAAATGGCGTCTAGTCAGGGAGGTGTGGGAGCTGTCACGGCTCTACAAAGCCATCACTACTCTAGCGGACCTCACTGGAGCCCGGGAATCAGCCAGTACCAGCACCAGCAGCAGCACCACACGGCCCGAAGCCTGGACCGGGCTCTGGAGGATGCCGTGTGCTCGGGGATACTGAACCTGAGCGGTAGGAAGCTGAGGGAGTACCCAGGGATGAGCTACGATCTGACCGATACAACACAAGCAGGTGGGTTTCCGTGCATGCATGGTCTATAGAAAACCACGAGTCAGTGCGCTTCATAGAAAAATTTGCTCACGGATTTACGCGTTTGTGAATGCTGCACGCCCGCATTGTGCATGGATTTCTTTATGGCTAGAGGCGCATTAACATGTAGGTGACAATATTTAAAGGGATATTCCGTCCACTGAGTTGATATCTGAAAACGCACGTATACATCCTGGTTGTAATTACTGTCCACTCGGGCTCATATATCACACCACTACTGCACAAGGGGCTCGGCTGCTGTTGTGTGGTTGTTTTGGTCGACGCCAACAGCTTTCAGTGCCCCCCTCCCTTGAGACACATGCATGAGACGGCAGGCGCACCCAAGCCAGGCGCTGTGCAGTGGTTTGCACACTGAGCTGCAGTTGATTTATCACCGGGCTGCTGGAGCAGAATAGGAATGAAATGAGAGGACATGTGTAAATACTTGCTCACAGAATATCATCTGTGTGTACATCTACATGTTAATTTATTTTTCCCATTTTCGGCACAACCAGACAAAAGATGCAGTGTACTTGCAGCCTCTCACCCTGTGTGCATATGCCCATATAGCCCATAATCTGTCCAAGAAGAGGAAGACACTGGTCTACTTTTGGTTGTCTGATATTTATCTGTTCTTTGGTCTTCTTATTTTATGTTATTGGATTTCTGCAAGAGCTAATGTATTCATAATGTCAAGTCAGTCAGTAGGTCATTATATTAGGTCAGTATTAGGCTCAGGTTTTGTGAAGGCTGTGTTGTCAGGGTCAAGGGTCATCATCATTTCTATTAGACATGGTGGTTTAGGTAAGGGCTTGTCTAACTTGAATAGCCCCATGATAGGCTATCTACAGTGTAGGAGCATATTTAGGGGAGTCTAGAAATACATGTTTTAATACTGCAGGCAGATTTAGAAATGTTCATATTGTCAATCAGTCAAAATGATTATCTTGGACATGTAGATTATGCTGGATCTCAGAGTGATGGTTTCATTCTCTGAGATGTCCACATACCATATGGTGTTACTCCATCCAGTGCAGCTCATGGCAAGCCGCTGGTTTGTTGGAGAGCCCTTACCCCAAGAGATTAAAATTTTATGCTCAATGATTTTGGTACCTCTTCATACACAGAGGCACACATTTTTTTCTAAAGATCCCTACCTTTTGGAAAACGAACAGATTTAAATGCATGTATGGAATCAAATGTGAAGTAGAAGTGATTGTACTAGAACACAGTATATTTGGGCTGGATGTAGACATTTTGGACATGAATGCAGTGATATGATGTGAAATAATGATGTCATTTTAAATTGCTTGCTTGCACAGTGTGAAAGCCTATATATACCTTTGAAGAGCTGAAGTGCTAAATATTATGCACATGCTGTATTTCGGGGGGAAGACACAACAGGAAGTTAGAATGCACTTTTTCTGGCCTGCTGGGCTGAATGGTTTCTATTTAAAGCTTGACTCTCCTAATGTATCATTATCAGGAGTGTGCCTTATGTAACACGGGTAGCAAATACAAGCGATATGAGAGTATACATTTCTGTCACACCTTTTGATTGTGTGAGTGGTGCAGTCTTTTTGTCACATCTTCATCGAGATGCCTTGAATAGAAGGTGCTCCAGAGAGGAGTCTCACTTTCAGATGTGCAAGGAGAGATGTCAACACCTCACAGTGCCAAACCCTTACTTTAACTGCAATCTCTGCTGTGAAAAGAAACAGCTCTTTCAGACTTAAAAAGGCAAATTCCTCTTAGATGAAGAAAAATCCAATAATTAAAACCGGTTCTCTCTTTGCAGTTTAGTATGTTCTTGGTAACTGCTGATTTTAAAATAAAGGTCAGCAGGTGCAACCTTCTTTACTTTTCCTCATCTCTCTCAAAAGGACAGCTTCTCACTCACTCACTCACTCACTCACTCATCATCAACTGCTTATCCTGTGTACAGGGGCGTACATTTTTTTTTAAAAATTTACCTGTAAGTAGAAACTATTTTGATAGTATGTGTCTCTATTTTCTCCTACAATACAAAGCTTTACGTGTGTGGAATAATTAGATCTGGGCCCTTAACTGAAGCAACAGCATGGTATCCCACCATTAATTGGGTGTTTGGGTGTTAGAATTTCAGTCCATCCCATTGCTGGTTTTAGAAGTTAAAATGGCTTTTTTCAGGGTCTAACTGAGTGGCCTCCATCTGACTAATGAGCAGCAGACGGCTCCAGTCGGTGTACACAGAGAAAGAGAGAGGCATGCTCACACAAGGGTGTGTGTTTGCAGTGTGCTACCGACAGTTTGTCTCCAGTCAGTTTGTTTTCCCATGGGAAAGTGCAAGTGCTGCCCTGACCTTGGAGAGGGGCTGGGGAGTAGTGTATCAACCTGGACAGATGTTCAGGTTCATATCCCCACACGCCACCTGCCTGCAATTACCCTGCCCCCAAGGGTACAACCACTCACACGTTAGGTTAGACTGTGCTTCCACTGCAGCACCATGCAGTGTGTTTCATTGTGTGCAGTACTGTCAGAGATACAACAAAGTGTAGACAGCAGGAGGATCAGCTGTGGTTTTGTGTGTGTGGTTGCTCTGGGGAATCCTAATAAACAAATATATTTTTTAACCAACAACATTGTTTGGTTTCTGAGAGAACATAATGACTTATTTACAGTGTACTTAAGAATGTAGGTCGTGCAGTAGATTGGGAGTTTAGTTTATATTCCTTTGTTTTATGAGTGTGCTGCGAAATTGAAGGCTGCACAGAATCTGTTATCACACTACAAATCTACATAAGTGCATTCTTGTATCCTTTATGAAGGGTTTGGTGTAATATTTAACAGCCAAATAAAGCTCTAAATGAAAAGGATGCGAGGTCAAAGAAAAGATGACGTTTTTGTCGCCAACTGAGGGTGCATGCCATAGTGATTTGCTTGCCAAAAAACCATAAGCTGCAGGATTTACTCTGTGTCATGTCCAAAACTTTTACAGTGTGCTGTTGCGGGCTGGTTGAAACAGGTGGCAAAATCAATATTCCACTTTTTGAATGGGTGTGACTTGAAGCACACAGTATGTCTCACACTGTAGGAATGCTTCTTGATAGGTTTAGTGCTTCAACACAGCTTGTGAAGGACATTCTCCACGAGGACAGAAGTATCTGGCATTCTTGTTTTTAATAATGGACTAGTGTAAATGCTGAAAGTGTCACTGCTCATTGAAGTAGATTGCAGGCCGACTCATTCAAAAGGCCTCCAGAGGCTTAGCAATTAAAAACACAGAGCTACACTGTGCTGCTACTTATACTCTGCGCTCTGTCTTACTTAAAATCAAATCAAATATTCTGGGTGTCTTATGAAAGCCTGTCCTGTCTTCATTCGTGTCATGGCTGGTCTGCGAAGAATAGCATGCACTGCTAGGAGGCTACTCAAAAGAACTGGCCTCCAAAAAAATATTTTTACATGACACATCATAGAAATATGAGTGTAGCCTGAAAAAAAATCCACATTCCCAACTTGAGCTTCTTCCCTCAGGGCTCCTTCTAGATTTGCCTTTGCATGCCTAGATAGAATATATGCATAACTGTCAGTAAGGAAAACACAATGCCATGTCACACACTGTTAAATATTTGAATAAAACAACTAAACTACCAAAATGAAATGATGGATTGTTATTGTGAATAACGTGTATCCCCATGATGCTTATTATTTTACACACTGTAATATAAAGAAATGATTTTGTAATTAGAGTTTTAATCGTACAGTAAATGCCCAATGTCTAGTGGATTAAACCCATTTTGAAGGTTTCTTAAATGCTTGCTCAATAGTATTCTCCACAGTGGCGTGGAGATAATGTGGTCGGAAACATGTGATATTTTTAACAAAAAGTGACCTGTTTCTCACAAGCCCTTGAATTGAAATAACCTTTCGAGTAATTTAAGCCAGTGCATAATGTAAAAAACAAAACAAAACAAGAAATACATTCAAAGTATGTTGGTTGTCTTGTGCTAGCTGGGGCTTAATTTTAGGGCTACCACTTATGATTATTTTCATTATTGATTTATCTATCAGTACATTATTTTAAATTAATAAAGCACTGTTTTCTAAATATATCTATACAGTATAAATGAATAAGTACAATTGCTCATTACACAGCAATGTTACATCTCTAATTGCTCATTTTGTCTGAACAGCAGTTAAAAACAAAGCATGTCACAATGATACACAGATAACCTACACATTAGACATTTGTTCTTGACAAATGTATTAAATGATTGCTTACATTCAGAGGTAACATATAATCACTTTAGCAGTGTTGTCTCCCACAGGTGACTTTAATGACTGTGACTCAAACAGCAGGTAGTTATAGTGACAAGCTAAGTGTATTGCTGCTGCTCCTGGTCTGGTTTTTACAATGAGAATATGGGTGATTTTTTTAAAATTTCATTACATTCAGTCAGCAATTGTAAGGGGCAAATTTGAGGTTTAAAGAACACTAAGAATGTCTGCCCCAAAGTCCTGAGGCATCCTGGACACCAGCCTCATGTTCAATAAAAGCCTCTTTGCCCCCAACACATCTTATCATTGTTGAAGTGGCTTCTGAAAGCCTAATAAGGAGTCTTCTTGGTGAATCTGCAGGAGCAGATTGATAGTAGAAGTACCAAGCTGACTGAACATCCAACACCTGAGTCCATACCCAGGCAAACTCTGTGCCCTACAGAAGGTACCTGTCTATGTTGAACACTAAGCGACGCTCCATACCACACCCAAAACCTGCCAGCCAGACAGCGTGGTCACATCTGCTGCAGGGCACAAATAATTAACCCCAATAAATCATGTTTTTGTTGTGTTCCTTCTTTGTTTTCATTAAATTGAACCTTGTAGTGGTTGGAAGTTGCTGCTATAGTAAAGACCTTTAGGATTGAAGTACTTTGGTGTCAGTTTTGCACATGATTCTGGGGTCTTGTAGACCATAAGTAATATTTTTGCAGTGTTGTATTAAGGTTTTTTTATTGCAATCTTAAAACAAATATTTCCTTTAGAAGCCCTCTGCAGCAACTCACAGAAGAAAGAGAGACTGTGGTCTGTGATTTGCTTGAGCACTCAGCAGGATATCTATTATCACGGAGTTTGCTGTGTCATGTGAAGACAAAGCCAGACATCATCTGCACTAGCAACATAAATGAATAGATTGCCGATTTGGCGTGAGGGTGCAGCGTAGTGGAGCTGTGGTGGAGGGCTCATCTGCCTGGCAGGCCTTGTCCTGCGGGAGCTCTTGGCGACCAGCAGGCGGATAAAAGGCCCACTGTGGACTGCAGATGGTGCATGGCTTGGTTTGGAGAAGGGGATGGAGATGGACAGGCTCACACAGACTGCCCCCACCCACCCCCATCTCCCATCGACACACATGATTCCACTGCTACAGAAGAATCCCCAGTTGTGGGGCTGGAGGCAGGGAGTTGGGGAAGTCGTCTATATAGGCTACAGCTGGGCTACAGCATCAAGGTCTGAGCCTCAGGGAGAGGCAGCATTTACTCTTAATGGAAAACCAGTCTACTCTGTGACCTCAGCTTTGGTCTTTCCCCATGTGGCAATTTCTGTTTCCCTTAACCTCTCGGCTTCTTTTCCCTTTGTGCTGCTGACTGTCTCATGGCCTACTGCTCACTTCTGCTTACTGGCTGCTGTCTGAGTTTAGACCATAGCTACAGAACGAGGTCCTGTCTGGTCTATTGTTGGTCATTTAAGGCTTGTCAGAAAGCCTGTTCAAAGGCACCAAAACAGTTTTGCTCTCCTCATGATGTCTTGTAACCTCAGGGAGCAGGGAATAAAGGTTGCAAAATCCACTCACAGTAAACAGAAACCTCTTTATCACTAACTGCTTTCAGTAAAGCCCAGACAGTAGCTTCATTGTTTAATAAAGGGTGGTAGCTACATGCATTAGGGGGATAGAGGTGCAGGAATGTTTGCTTTTCCTTCAGTATGGATGTGGCATTTCAGTTAGGTGAGATGGAATAAATTAAAATGTTTTTATCTGTGGCTGTGTAGCTCCTCATGAAGTAATCATCATGTCCCCTGGAGATAATTCAGAAGACTGGATTGTTCATACACACACACACACACACACACACTGATTTGATCTACTGAATCAATGTGTCTGAAGGTGAAGTCTTATCAGTAAGAGTCGTCCTTACATGTACTTTTCTCATAGGTCCCCATGTATCCTCATGTTTCCTGTTTAAATGGACACTGTTTGTGTTAGAGTTTTTTTGATGAAAAACACAAAGAGAGAGAGATAAAGATGTGTGGATTGCATGCATGCGTGCATGGAAATGTCTTGGGCTGTTTGAGTGATTCAGCAACCTTGAGGGATACTCAGGCTTTGTGCATGATCCAAAGGCATGCATAAAATGTAAACCAGAGTGAACATTAGTATGGTTGATTATATATGGTAAAAATTAGTACATGATGTATGTGTATAATAAAGAGCTGAATGTAGACAGATGGTAGAGTGATGAGCTTGACCATCAGTATCTGCCTACATATCCAAGTGAGTGTCTAAATATTTTATCGTGAGCGGCAGATACATATGAGAGTCTTGTGCTCATATTCATCGGCTGGAGCAGGGTTTACATTCATTCTTGGCTGATAAGGCTGTGATTTTGCAGCAAATTGTTATAACCAGGTCTTTTCTAACTCTGTCACATATTTTTAATTACACCTTGTTATAAAAAAATAAAATATATTGTCATTATATTTAAAGAATATTTTTAAATATATAAACATGGATGCCTAATTTTTTTTATGTTTTTTTTCTCTAGAGACGGCAATGTCAGATTGTTTGTCTGTAGGACTGAAATATCCCATATTAACTGCAAAACTAACCTGCAAAACTAATGACATTCCCATTAGCCTCAGCTGTGCAATGTGTTTAGTGCTAATTAGCATATGTTAGCATGCTAACATGCTAAACTAAGATGGTGAACATGGTAAGCATTATACCTGCCAAACAGCATGTTGTCATTGTCAGTGTGTTTCCATGCTAGCATTAACATTTAGTTCAGAGTACCACTGTGTAAAAGTACAGCCTCACAGAGCCGTTAGCATGGTTGTAGACTCTACAATATATGAATACATACACACACACACACACATATACATATACACACACACACACACACACACACACACACACACACACACACACACACACACACACACACACACACACATATACATATATATATACATACACATATATATATACACACACACACGTATATGTATATATATATATATATATTATACACACATTAGATTGCATTTATATTATGTTTATGTCAATATATTACATTTCCATATTACATCTACAGATGCAGTAATATAATTTGGGCATCATATAAACCATTAATAAAAGACTCGGAATGATCAAGCTCAGAATGATAAATCCTGTACAAGAGCTTAATTTCTATGAATTATTCCAAACTAGACAGTGGCATAGAAATCCTACCACTCTTCTCTACAAGAAGCAGCCCAAAACTCCCTTTTTTAAAATAACCATTTGGTGGTTAGCTTATGTTGCATGCAACTGATCTTTCAACAAAAAGAAACAATTTGGAGTGAGTTCTAACACTTTCCACCAATCATACAAATCTAAAGCCATTACTGTGCCACTCCCAGTGAGATCAATATTGGAAATACTGAGATATTACACTGCCAGTAGCACTCAAGCCACTGAGGCCCAAGACTGTGGTGTAATCTTAGACCAGTGTTCGATGAAGAGGTACACTGCACACCACTCCTTCACAGACACGTATTGATTATCTTTCAAGTCTATGGCCTCATGCTAAAGCAAACATTATGGACGGTGCCCAGATCTTGAAAATATTATAATATGTATGTCACCCGTATGTTCAAATTGTACATATTTCATCAGCTCCTGTTCCTCCTTGCAGATTTGTCGAAGAATCGCCTCACAGAAATCCCCCCAGAAGTATGTCTATTCGCACCCCTTGAGTCGCTCAACCTCTATCACAACTGCATCAAGTGCATCCCTGAAGCCATTATCAATCTGCAGATGCTGACTTATCTTGACATCAGGTGGGTTATTGCTAACACTATACTTTCAGTTTGGTTCCTGTGTCTCATTATATACAACAAAAGTGAATGTATTTAAGTGTTCAGCTTTATGTCTCTCAAGAAGTGCTCATTCCCCTTTCTGAAATCTAACACGGTAAACATGCTTACATGAAGGAGAGGCATTTCCTCTTTTGCTGAAACTCAATTCCCAGTGACCAGATACTCAATGTTACATCCTCTGTGTACTATTTCATATGTAGGTCAATGTTTTGTCTTTCTCTACAGCCGAAATCTCCTGTCAGTTTTGCCAAAATACTTGTTCAGCCTCCCCCTCAAAGTCCTGCTTGTGAGCAACAACAAGCTTGTGTCCATCCCTGAGGAGATTGGCAAGGCCAAAGAGTTGATGGAATTGGTGAGCAGTGTGTATGTGTCAGTGCGCATGAACTTGTGCATGTTGTACTGCCATAGTAATCCCATTTCCTACACTTTGGCTCCCCTTGCAGGACGTGAGCTGTAATGAGATCCAGGTGCTGCCAGCTCAGGTGGGGAGGCTTCAAGCCTTACGAGAACTCAACATCAGGAAGAATTGTCTTCACATGCTGCCTGAGGGTAAGTCCCTAACTCTCTGGGTATTTTATTTTTCAGGCTAATTGGGTAGTGGCAGCTGCAGATGAGGGACAGGTGTTTAGATTTGTTTAGAGTGACAGTTTTGGCAACAATGAAAGTCCTTTCATAGCCAAGAATTACAATTCTGTAGTGTTTGCTTTGTGTTAGCTGTCATATTGCAGCTGTGATGAAGATGAGAAACATGTATTAAGCAATGCTGTCTAAAACGGGTGCGAATACATGTACCACACAAGTTCCCCCTTGCATGTTGAAAGCTGAGCATCACATTCAACAAAAGGTGTTTATGAAGCTCTTTTTTATGGACTCCACTTTGTCTGTACTTCCAGAGTTAGCTGACCTGCCTCTCATCCGACTTGACTTTTCCTGCAATAAGATCACAGAGATTCCTGCAGCCTACAGGAAACTCAGGCAGCTGCAGCACATCATCCTAGACAACAATCCTATGCAGTCTCCACCCGCACAGGTACGTGAATTCATATTATGAACGCACATTTTGTGGAGGTCAAGTATATTATGGTGTCAACATGCAGCATAAATGGATTTTATGGGTTTCCTGTATGTGACTGAGTTGACCAGTTATCATGTCTATAGGGGTAAATCAATGTCACTATCACTGTAAATGCACTTTGACCATGACAGTTTCCAAACAAAAACAGTCTAAATACAAAGCGATCCACAAATACACTGTGACCACACACAGATTTGACAATTGAATACTGAGCATTGCACAGCAAATGTACGCATGTCTTGAAACAGTGGTTTAAAAATACAAGTTAGACTGTATTTGTAGAAACTGTAATTTGTGATTGTTTGTCAATTTTTAATCTATTTTGTAGATCGTGTTTCATATTTGTGGCTCATGGAGCGTTTGTTTGTGGATTTCAAATGTGTGTTTTGTGTTTACAAATTGTATTTGTGACTCATAGTGTATTACAATGATATTGACATCGATTTAACCCCATACATATCCCACACACACAATGAACATGGTACAATTGCTCTGTCTAGTGGATAAATGAACATCCAACTTTCTAGTGGTTACAACAACTCAGACTCTAGAGACACCTTGTATTCATGTGTATGTTTCAGATTTGTCTCAAGGGCAAAGTTCACATCTTCAAGTACCTGAACATCCAGGCGTGTAGGATGGACAAGAAGCCAGACACCCTGGACCTCCCATCCCTTGGAAAACGTTGCATCCCACAGCCGCTTACAGATAGGTGCTGACACATTTATTGTTATTGTTTCATCATGGCATGACACACAGTGCACCTACTTTTGTATAATTTCTGTTCCATTTAACACATTATTTGAACATACACCTGCTCCCTGTGATGAAGACTTATGTTTAGCACACTCTGCAAACTGTTCATTATACTGCAGTTGCAAATTGGATTTTATCTATCTATTATTATCTGTTACAAAAAGAGAGCTCTAATGTGCAGTTTGTTTTGCATATTTTCAGCATGGAAGATTTTTATCCCAATAAGAATCACGGGCCTGACTCTGGAATTGGTAGTGACAATGGTGACAAGAGGCTGTCTACAACTGAGGTCAGAATTCAAAATACAAGATTTACTGATGGCATTGTCAATGCATGATAAACACATTATCATGTTTTACTACTTAACTGAATGCAACATTTCTAAATTCATGAATCTCAAAGTACACTGTGTGGAATTATCTTTCTTATACTCTGTTAAGCAATGTAAACACTGCTGATGCTAGCTAGTAATTATTCTTTTTAGTTGGTTTGTCCGATTTTCATGATATATAGTTAATCTAACAAATGGAAATGTGGGTTCTGGTTCAGACAATAGCTCTAGCAGACTCTCCAGAAAAAAAAGGATAAGACAGCCTTGCAATTGGTGATACAAAATTAGGCAGATACAGCAAGCAGACAAATCCAAAGAGACCAAAGCAGAGGTAAAAAAACAGGCTGAGGACCATAAGAAAAGGTGGGCAGAATAGAAGAAAAATGGCTAGATAGGTAATGCACCTTGGCAGTAGACTATCTGGCAAGAATTGAATGCTAACTGGGCACTGGGGTAGTTGACTAATATAAAGAATGTGATCGGAGCAATTGACTGAGTTGGGAAGCTCCTAGGGAGTGACTGGTGGAAAGATTAAAGTTGTTGTGGAATTCCACAACTTCAAAACACACGTGCGTGGGAGTCCACCTCTGCTCCAGTCACAGGTAGCCTGCTGCTGCTGAGCCAAAGTATTGCGTGAGAAGAGAACAGATATCGTTATTCCTGAGACAGCAGACATCATTAGAGATTCCATTCAGTCAAAGATATCACACAGATATGTCTGCCTAGATACCTTGGGGTGTAGCTATAACTGTCAACTAGGGTTGGGCGTCAAGAGTCAGTTCCACATTAGAACTGGTTCCAATATTCCAACTCCAAATGAATCATTAAGAAATTTAAATTATATTCTGCTTATCGGTGTACAGTGTACTGCAAAATCCTACAGGATAGGATGATAGGATGATACCCAACCCTACTCTCAACTCAATATTGATGAGCAATATAAATAGTGATTAATATGTAAAGATAATTGACTGTTTACCGCACAAGGTTAGAAAGGCAACATGAAAGAAAATGCAGATGAAGTATAGGGTGAATCAGGTGAACTTGTGATGCAGATTCTGCAGTTGATGCACAATCATTCACTCAATATCAATTTAAAATGACAATTATGTGCAAACATTTCTATGTAAATATTTAAAAAAGTAATTAAAAGTAATAATAAAATGCAGGTGCAAAGACCAGCACACAAACCCATTTGAACCAAACTTTCAAAGTTCACTCCTCATTCTTTTCTTCTCCCGCAGCCTTCAGACGATGACACAGTCAGCCTGCACTCTCAGGTTTCAGAGACAGCCCGTGCTGATGCTCTCTTGCTCCTCTCCAAAATGGACTCTTGCAAAGGTTACCGAAAATAAGTATCACATATTCTCGTTGACAGCAATAACAGAGACTCGGGGTTGTTGAATGAAGTGCCTAAAATATGACAGTTTATGTGATGAACGCGGATGCTTCCTCCCTCTATCAGATCAGGATCTCTATGACTTTATAGAGCCCAACCCGGACGAGGATCCTGCTCTGTCAGAGTGTGATGGGCAGCAGAGCTGTCATGTGTCTTGCATAAAGGTATACCTATCTATCTATCTATCTATCTATCTATACCAACATAACAAAAAGTAATTAAAAGGACATGGTGTGTGTGTGTCTGCGTGTATTTCAGGAACTGGAGAAAGTTCTTAACATGTCTTACCAAAGCAAAGATAAAGACAGCTGGAAAGAGGAGTCTGGGTGAGTGCATTGTTCAACACAGCAATCAAACAAACAACTTGTGTTAGCTTGAGTTGTAATGGAACACTCACGCATTCTGTATTCTACCGCCCACATAACTGAGCAACCACTTAGGTAATGGTTGTTGACAACTCATCAGTCAACTACACTGATGGAGCTGAACCAATGAACTAGTTCCTGTCATCACTAGCAGTAAGTGTGAGAAAAGTGAGAAGTTTGCCTCAGCTTCCGTACTTATGTAACATCTAAATCTAAAGTGTAATGTTACTGAAGTGGGTGGTCTGTTTGATGATCATGTGTGGACCATAAACACAAGAAAATACCCTTTGTGCAGTCTGTCAGTTTAAAACATCTGCAAATATTTTGCTGTTTTTAACTGTACAATGTTAGAAAATTATGTGCAGCCTTGATTACTTTACATGGCCTCAAGGACAAATAAATTTGTGTTCAAAAAGATGATGGATTAGATCATTTTGTTTATATACACACAATGTCATAGATGCTTTTGTGTTTTGACAGCTGTGCTGAGTTGAAAATGGCTAAGCTGTGTACAGTTTCGGATGATGATAACTTTGATTTGGAACTTTTCCCAGGTCTGATAAGGAGCAGCTAGTTGAAGAAGAGGATGATGAGCTGAAGGAAGTGCTGGATCTAAGGAAGATTGCTGTTCAGCTTTTGCAGCAGGAGCAGCAGAATAGGTGTGTGACTCTCCTTTTTCTTCTAGTAATGTAACAACAGCCATCCCGTACTCACTGAAACACTGCACTGCCATAAGTTTAGATCCTCATTTCATATCCATATCCACCTCTTTCCTCTGTTACTTTCTCTTTATTCCTCATCACGTAACATATACAGTATACACATTTGTGCTGCTGCCAGGTCAGGCTAACAGCTTAGATGCAAGATTGTTTCCTGGTATGTAAGCTGACATTGTAGAACTGTACAACTTGTGACAAGATCATCTCATCACCCCTATGTTTGTAGATTCATTATTTGTTTCTCAATATCCACATTTTCCATACATCCCCAAATATCACTCCATCATCACCAATTTATCTCTTTCACCTCTGTAAATCAGATTCTTATCAGCATCACTCCACTTACTGTCTGGCAACTCTTGTCCTTTCCCTGATCGTCTTTTTACATTTGATTTATGGCTTTCAGACGGCGGTCCTTAATTTGCAGAGCAGAGAGTCTTATTCATCGACGGAGAGTGACTGGCCGGGCACACAGGTAAATGCACTTTCTTTAGCATCATGTATAGACAGTTTGTATGTCACACTGGGTAGATAACCACTTATCATGTCTAACACGCTAACGCAGCATGCCTCTGGTGTGTTTCTGTATCTGCCTCAACATACATTCCCTAACAGGCCTCATTAGTTTTGTCTTGTCCCATATGAATGAGTATGTGGACAGCTGTTTCTATGATTGAATTTATGAAAAAAATGTTTCCATCAGAAGTGAAACTAGCTCACGAAAAAGTGAGCTAGTTTATGCAAACTTTGATAAATGCTTAAATGAGGATTAGTCTATAAACAGACGCATAAATACAGTTCATCTATTGTGCAGATGAATCTCCTTTTGTTGCTCGATTGTAGAAATTTCCAATGAATTTGACTCAGCCCAGATTTTTTTTCTATTTGTAAATACCACTAACAATCTGTCTGCACTATGTCACATGAGTCACCACTCAGTTGGGGAGAGAGTGATGGGTACTTTATTTATCCCCAAAGGGAAATTCCAGTGTTGGCAGTAGCAGCAGTTTACTTATAATAAAAACAAAAAATAAACAGTTGTGCTTAACCCCTAGTTGCCCCAGAGGCAACTAGGGGTTAAGCACAATAATTGGGATTCATGTTGATAAATTTTTGGGCAGGAGGGTGAGTGTGAGCAAGCATTCTTAATGTGACAACCCTTTCCATGACTTGGCGACTGTTAGCCTACCCTATAGGCCTTTTTGCTATCTTGATAAGTTGTCCACCTTTTAGATGGCCTGCATTAAAACAAGACAGGGCGCAGCGTCAAAGATGCACTTTTTGTAGTCCGTCTTCAGAAGATTGTAGTTTCATCACGGCAGGTCACATCAGTAATATCCACCATCGCATAATTACGTTGTCTAGAAAAGAGCAGTCGGATTCTCTGAGCCCCGCAGTCCTCTTTTCCTTATGAATTCTCCTTCACTTCTTTCCTTGACTTCATGACGTTTTCCATCAAGGTCAAGGAAAGGTGGTTAGGAAAGGAGATTTTTTGGAATTTCTGACACCAGCCCTGGACTATTGTCTGAGGTGTATATTGTAAGAGGAAAGGTGAGAGTATGGTAGAGGGGGGCATGTTTCCTGCTGAGTGACTGTTGCAACTGCATCTGTTTCCCTCTGCAGATTCCTAAGTCACTCTGG